AATCCCTTCCATGAACAAATTATTTGTGAAATGTACCCGAATTAATTTATATATTGTTTACAAATATATGTTGTACAAACTATCCCAAGTTCACTGTTATTTCCTTTAATTCAACGATATTCAACGATTTTTTTTTTGAAAAATTTCGGTTTAATTTTTCCTGGAACGAAAATTGAATATAAATATCATCTGTCTTTTTAATCTTTTTATTATCAATCTTATATCTTGTGACATTCTTATCAAGAAGAAAACTTTTCAGATTGTGTCACTAATAATATAAAAATCAGTTAAAAAAAAACTGATCTTTTTGTATTTACATGTTTTTCGTAAAATGAAAAAAAAGAGATGCAGTGAATTTGGAACAGCTTTATATAACGTTATTAATAATTGTCTCAGTATAGAGAGAGCAACTTGGAAGGGAAGCATTCCCACAACACGTGTATATAAATTTTTTTGGTCCTATAAAAAAGAGAAGTAATATGCTTTTTATACAAATATCATTCATCAAGATTTTAGAATTCCGCTTTTATTAATTTACGAAAGACCCAGGATGATAGCTAAATATTCTTATCATCCAATTTTTCAAATAACATAGTCAAACTGAATAAACTTTATCTAACATCAAAATGATCGACTTATTTCTCTGTCACAAAATAATAAATTTACATGCGATTAGATATTTATTGCCAAATTTTGACAGTTTGCATTATTTTTATTATATTTCTATTTTATAAAGACACATACACTTAGAAGGAAAAATTATTTTTTCAATTAATTTTTAATTAATATAGTATTTCATATATGTTTCTTAATATTCGTAAATAGAATTGAATTTTTTTGCAAGGATAATGCTAACAATTTAAAATCTAATTCCCTGTAATTATTCTTATGATAAATTTTTTATTTTCACTTTCATCACTACATAGTTAATATAATTACGTAAACATATAATAAATTGTTATTATAATTTTAAAATAATTTATTACCGTTATTTATTATTTAGTATAAATTATTGTTATAACTAATTCTTTTAATCTTTGAAATTAAGTTACTATTTAGTGAATAATCAAATATTTGAGAAAGGTAATTCCCATGCAAAAACTTTATATTTTATCAAGAAAGAAAGAAGTATTGTGTGATTGAGAATCGAAAAGTCTCTGTTAAATCTTTATTATTTATGACATCCCTTCAAAAGATCGACAGATTTAAAAAAAAAATTGACGCGAATTCAGTTTGCAACATCGAATTTTTGATTTTCTAAAATCAGCAATCTGTTAAAAGTGTTGGGATTTATGTATGCTATTCGTTTTTTTCCATTCTCTTATTAGTATCACTTTTTGCATTCTTTATAATAATTATAATTGGATTCGAAGTACAATCTTTTTCATTTCTTTCTCTGATGTATATAAAGTGATAAAATTAAGTGATACGCAATAAAATTTAACATGACATTTTAATTTTTATTTAACAGTTATTTAAAATCGTTCAGAATGACTTGAACATAAAATTTTATAATTAAAAAAAGCACAAAAAAGGATTTGATTATTTTCAAATCGATGTCTGATTTCGAACCTCACGAAATCGTAACACCCACAGAATGAATTCTTGTCAATTTAAAAAATTTTTTTATCAGCCTTTTTTTTACAAGAACTGCACTAGATAATATATATATTTCTATTCTCGCTGTATCTCGACGAAATTTTATTCGATATATACATAGACATATAATCAACGTCGAGAAATTGCCTGTCCATAGTACTTCTCGAATGGTCGTTATGTATCTCCATATTAAAATCAACGGCAGCTTTCCGCGAAAGGTAAACTTTGTAAAAAAAAAAAAAAAACATAATTTAGATTGAACTAGGCTCTTCTCGTTGATACTTTCAAGCTTGTGTAGAACTGTTTCGTAGGATTTTCAACAAATTTGGTAAGATAGAATAAAATCCGAAAGAATTTCGTACGATAAATTTGTTTGGATTGAATTATTTGAATCTCCGCATCCCGTTTCCAATTTTCATCCTTTGATAAGAAAGATAAAGATAAAGAATTATTTACGTGAAAAATGTCTATGTTCATTATTCACAATAAAGAACAAACGATGAAACAAATGAAGAATACGAAAGCTTATAATAAAAAAAATAATGGGTAAAATTTTATTTAAATGTAAATGATTTATTTTCACCGAATTTTTTTATTCAATTGTTATATATAATAGAAAAGTGTTTATACGTTATTATATTATTAGCGTTCAACAAAACTTATATATTTCCATTTAATTTATACCATTTAAAGGACTAAACATATATATATA